TCAACTCTGTCAGTTTGTGTTCCTAAGAGAATGATAACAACTTTCTGCACACCATAACGGGTAGATATCCCCATAAATCCCCTTATCTCTCTACATCTACAGATGTCTACAGAATGCTTGCTGGCTTCACAATCTGGCCCCGAACAGTCCCCTAAGCCTAACGCGTTCAGAGAGCTGAAGGCTGTGCCGGCCTGCCTTGCGCCGCACCGACAGGAGACGAGGTGCCCTCCGCAGCACCACTGAAACTTGTCCCTCGCATCCGTGTCATTCTGCCGGAGAGAAGAGATGATTGTCCTAGTTCTTTGGAGCTGCTGGTAGTTGCACTAGCTTCACTACTAACGGCCATCTGAGAACGGTGCCATCGGTGCCGAGACACTACGTAGTACCAGCGACACAGGTTTTTTTTGATACGTAGTACACAATCGTACTCCGCATGCCATGTTCCTTGACAGCCTTGACTGCTCAGTCCTGCCTTGACGCTGTTTCGGCTGTGCAAGGCTGCTCCTATCAGTACAGAGCTAGCTGTACAGCTGATTCAGCCGAGTTTCTGGCTACTGCGTTCATGCCGCTGGTGCTGAACTACCGCTTCCTCATCTCGCTGCTCTACCTCCACGTGGTGATGAGGGGCCGAAAGGTACGGAAGAGTGGCGGCCGCAGCGGATGGCATGTGCTCCTTGGGATCTGTGCTATCGCTTTCATGCTGGCAGTTTTGTGCATCGTGCCGCATGTTAATTTGTTTCTTGATGCTGCCGACAATGTAGGGTGCAACTCCCTGCTAAGCCAAGGTCCTGCATTGTCCGTGCTAAGGTGTGAGAGTGTTGTGCGCCCTCGTGGCACTTTTGACACTCCTGTTTCCGTCAGGTCAGGTTTGGATGGCGTCCGGCACAACGGTGTATCCAAGCAGACCCGACTGTCTTATCATGCTGTCGCTGAGGGGTGCAACTCCCTGCTATGCCAGGGTCCCGCAGTGGCTGTTATGCATCCCGTTTGTCCTTTGCGCCTTCGTGGTTATCGCGATCCATGCTTTCCCTTGTGGCTCCCTTCGGATTCCGTTCCGTACAATGGTACGTCCGAGTGGGCCCTGCCCAGCGCCGCCCCGCCCTCTGTGGACGCTAAGGACCTGGCAGGCTGCAACCCCCTGTTGCGACAGGGCCCTGTCAAGTCCGTCAGCTGTGGTTGTCGGCTTTCGTGCACGTGGCCTGTTGGTCTTTGCCTGTTCCCACATATGTGCCTCGGTTCCTCCGTTTCCCGTTCCTTGCCTACGTTTTGGACTTCGGTCTCTCCGTCCGCTTACTGCCTTGGTGGCCCTTTTGCTGTGGTGGGCTGCAACTCCCTGCCTCGTCAGGGTCCCACCACCCTGCCAAGCGTTCCTGAGCGTTTTCCGTTCGTCTACCGTCTGTTCCTTTTCCACTGCCGGTGTTTCCTGAGCGCTCTGTCCTTTTGGTGCCTCCTTCCACCGGCTTGGCCTGTCTTGTGCGCTTTCTGCGTTACTGTGTGCTTTGGCCTGTCTCCTTCTACCAAACCTGTCCTTTCTGCTGGAGCTGACTCGGACGAGGGCCGCAACTCCCTGCTGCCGCAGGGCCCCTCGTCCGCCTCACCCGTGGCACGGCCTTCTCTTCGTAGGCTGCGTGTCCCTACTTACGTTGTGGCCCTTGCACGGCGTGCTGGCTCCCGCCGCGTCCCTGCCGTTGTGCGCCCTACGTTCTTCCTTGCCGGTCTTGGGGCCTGCCCTTACCCGCGCCGTCGTTCGTCGGTGCGTCGGTGCTCCTGTTGCCCTTTGTGGTCGTCACAGCACACTGCCTCCTCTTCTGACCCCCTGCTTGGTGGAGCTGGGGGTAGTGCCGCGACTCGCCGTCGGCGAAACGAACGAAACACCTTGTTGACGTTACAGAGCACTGTCAAGGTTTTGGCCAAACAGGTAGCTGTGCTGCAACAGCTTCTTGAAGTGCAGACTGGTGCGCGGTCCGCTGAGGCCACCTTTGGTCCGAAGTCCACCCCCAGGCGTCGTCGCCCTCGCGCTCAAGACGCTCCCCCTGCCGCTCAGGCCCAGCCGGCCCCTGACACGCAGCCTACTGGTGGTGTTTCCTTTGCTGATGTTGCCCGTCGTGTAGCTAAGGCATCGGCTCCGGCACCTGCTGTTTCAACAAAGCCTCCCTCTCTTTCCCAGCAAGGCTGGAAAGAGCGAGTCGTCACTGTCTCAACCCTGCGAGCTGGTCTCAAGTTTGCTGCTGTTGTTGCTGCCCACACTGATGAGCAGCTTGCGGACATCAAAGCCGTTGTAGCCGCCTGTCCACCCACTTGTCCCCTTACCTGTGTGGATTTGGCGACCCCTGGCGGAGACCGAGCCGTCTTGCTTCAGTCCCAGCGCGGCGCCCCTTTCGCCAAGCCGGCTCACCTCTTGCACTTTGGAACTGGTCCTCACCCGGCCCCGCTGGTGTCTACTGTTAAGCCTGAGCAGGATGACAAGAAGGCCTCTGCCGATGCCCCCACGTGTGTCCTGCGCCTTACCCTCGCCAAGGAGTTCGCTGCCGAGGACCTGTACAAAAAGGCTGTGGACCGGCCACAGGCCCTGCCTGCCTTGCTCCTCCCCAGTCCTGTTGGAGCCTCTGTCATCCAAACCTTTGCTGTGGCCTCGTATAGCGGGGAGATCACGTGCCTCCTCAAAGCCAAGGAAACCGCCCAGACTTCCTTCCTCCAGGCTAAGCTTTCTGTTGGGGCCACCATCGCCCCTCAAAGGTCCAGCACTCTCCAGGTTCAATGGATTCTGCGCGAGGAAAGTGCCACTGCCGATGCTTACTGGCAAACCGTCTCAGCTGCCGTTGGCGAGCGCTGCTTGATTGCCTACCGCCCTGGTGGCAACTCCTGCCTTGGAGTCAGGGGCAAGCCAGAGGACCTCGGGTCAGCCTCCAAAGCGTCTGCTGCCTTGGCACCACGCTGGTGCGTCTCGTCTACCCCTGCTTCTTGGCTTTCCTGCGATGTCGAGACCTGGGCCAGCGAACGAGGTTTCACTTCGGTTTCATCCGTCTCCCGTTCCAGCAAGTCTTCTTGGAGCCTTCGGGCTTGGCCTCCGGCTGGTTTTGCTGGGCCTTCGGTTTTCACTTCTGGCATAGTTGTCTCTTCTTGGACTTCGAAACCTGCCAAACGCCGCGCTCCTGAGTCCACTGCCAGGCCGGTCTGGGGACTCAAAACTTTTGCTGAGGACAAGGCCGCCACCGGTGGTGTCGCTCCTGACGCTTCGGCCCCTGCTGAGATGCAGGTCGACTCTTCTGGCCCTTCCGCCAAAGCTCAGTCTGACAACACCCGTCCGCGCAGCCCCTCGGCACCTGAGCCTCGCGCCAAGGCCGCCCGCACTCGCCCTCCCATGCCTGGGTCCGAACTCTTTGAAGTCCGCGAGTGCGGAGGTGCAGGCGACTGCGCCTTTTGTTGCGTCGCCACTGCCCTTTCCTGCCACGCCAAGTCTGGTGCGTCCAAGAAAGACCTTGCGCCTGGGGGCCCTTTGCAAGGCTTTCTTCGTGTTGAAGCTTCTAAGTGGATGCGTTCCCACCCTGAGGTTTTCAAAAATCCCGCTCTTGGCAAGCCGGTTGACGCCGATGCCGTTGCTACTTCGGGTACTTACGCTGACACCTGCTCGTTGTATGCACTTGCCCAGGCCCTGCGTGTGCAGCTTCGCGTGTGGATGCTTGACCCCAAAACTGGCTCCTGGCGCTTGTTTTTGGTTGGTAACGTGCCTAGCCCTCCTGTGAAAAGTCAGCCCTCGTGCGTCTGGCTTTGCCTTGAAAGCCAACACTACCGTCTCCTGTCCCCGCACAATGCCAAGAAGGCTGAGGCGTTGCTCACCTCCTGTGCTGCGGCAATCACCCAGGTCACCTTGGACTCTGCTGTCGTCGACCTCACTGGTGCTGGCCCGTGTGAGACCCGTGACTCTGCTTGGGCTCGCAGCATGCTTGGCCTCGAGAATGCCTCCGTGTCTTCTGCTGTCAGTTCCGCCGTGCTTCCGCGCTGCCCTCCGCCTCGGCCGTGTTCGCAGTCTTCGGTTGCTGCTGCTCCTGCTCACCCCGCAGCCTTGCTTGGACTGTGTCGTTCTGCCCCGTGCAGCTCCAGTTCAGTTGAGACCATCGGCACTGCTGCCGTTGCTGCGTCTTCTGCCCCAGGGGTCTCCTCAGCTAAAGCCGCTGCCGTTGGAAGCTTTGACCCTGCTGACCCCCGCGTGCTTCTTGGACTTGCCGCACCATCTCATGGTGATGCCGCTTGTGGTGACCTGCCTGATGACCTTGTCTTTCAGCCTTACCAGCCTGGTGAAGTGTGGCACTGCAAGTGCGGATGGCGCCCTAACCCTACAGACTCCAGTGACCAAAAACGCGCCGCTGCACGCAAGCACTGGCGCCAGTGTTGTGGTACTGAGCCGCCTAAAGCACACCAGGTTGCTGCGCACCAGCGTCTAGCGCGCAGTGGCATCGGCAACTTTGCCCTCACGCGCCAAAAAGCCCAGGAAAAGTTTACAAAGTGGCGCAACGGCCTCAAGGGAAAGTGGCAAAAAGCCGCCTGTAACCCCGACCTGGACAACCCCGCTACCCGAACTCGGCCGAAATCGGGCATCACCTCATCCATGTACACCTGCAGCCAATGCCAGCGCTGCGATACTCTGAGCTCCTTCAAAGCTTCGCCGTGCTCAAAGGGCAACGTCACTGTCAAGATCCCACTCCGGGACTGGCAGGCCAAACACAAAGGGCAGAAAGTCGCCGATGCTCTGCATTTCAAACGTTTGGCTAACTCCGCTGCGCGCACGAAGCGCCTTCGTCTTGGCCTGCCTGCTGGCCCCCGCGGCCGACGCCCGAAAACCCAGTCCCAACTGTGACTACAGCCTGGTTTGTGCGTTTCGGCCGACCCTTTGTTGGGTGGCGCTGACCTTTCCGATGGCGCAGGGCCTGGCTTTCCTGTTGCCCTTCTGTCGGTCAATGTCACTGCACTCAACCGTGAGCGTCTTGAAACCGTTCTCAGACATGCCGCTGCCGTCGGTGCCCACTTCATTTGCTTGCAGGAAACTCGCCACGGCTCTGCTTTTGCTTGGGCTTCTGCCATCGCTCTGCAAGCTGGGTGGCGTTGTGCTTGGAGCCCTTCCCCCCCTCTCTCCCAGCACGGCGCTCCCAAGCCGGGTGGGTGCGCACTCCTGTGGCGTGATTTCGGCCGGTCTTCACCGGTTTCTTGCAGTCTCCCCGCCGAGCACGCGCACCGAGTTGTTGGCCGTACCTTTGCTGACTTCACCTTGGTTTGCGTGTACCTCCCTGCCCGTGAAAACTCTCCGCATCTTGTTCACACAGTGTTTCAAGCCGCCGAGGCCGAGGGCAAGCCTTGGCTTGTTGTGGGCGACTACAATTGGCGTGCCAGCTATGATCACGTGCGTCTGGGCTTTGAGGCCAGCACCTTTCCGCATGCTGTGACCACTGTGGGCCACCAAGCTGCGCCCACTCGGGCTTGCTGCTCTGCCAGCGTCTCCGTCTCGAATGCTGTCGTGCAGACGTGTCCCCTCCCCGGCATTCCTCATCATCAAGCCGTTGTTTTCGCGGATGCTGTTGTTCCCAACCTTTGTGACCCGGCGCCCAGTCTTCGTGCTCGGCGTACCGCTGTCTACGAGTGGTCTTTGCCTCCGGCTCCTCAGCTCCCTGCACTCTGCCAGCGGCTGATTTCGGCTGTGCCACCACCGTGTCCTGCTGATTTGCCTTTTGACCAGCGTCTGTCTGCCTGGCACGTCCGTGCAGAGAAGGTCTGCAGCTTGGCCTGCCAATTTGGGGTGGCCCGCACCTTGCGTAAGGGCGAGCGCGGTAAGGGCTCTGCTCTGTCGATGCGACCTCGCGCACCTCCTGCTGTGCACCGTGCCACTGAGCCTGTTCCGCTGCGTAGGTGGCGCCGTCTCCACCGTTCTGCCTCCGAGCAGTTTAAGCAACTTGGCCCCGAGGCTCCCTTAACCGCTTGTCAACTGCGTCACTGGCAGTTTGCGCCGGAGCCTGCCCAGCCTTCGTCGCAAGCTCAAGCTGTTTTTTGGGCCACTGAAGCGATTTCCCAGTGGGAAAACTCTGTCAGGAAAGCGCGTGCGCGTCAGTGGCGCCACCGTTTTGCCGAGTCTTTGCAAAGTGCCACTAAGGCGATCGCCCCCCAGCTGCGCCCTGCTAACAGCCTTGACCCCAACCTCGACTCTGCTGGGATGACCACCGAATGGGCTGCTGTTTGGGAAAACCCTCACCCCACTTCCGCCGCTGCTTGGGCTGAGGTCAACTCTGCAGCTCCTCCTCCGCCTTCCTTGTGCGCCGACGATGCTCCTGTCGTTGTTTCCCTTGAGGCCTTCCTGGATGGTATCTTGCATGGCCACGGCAGTGCCGGTTGGGATGGCTGGTCTGCCGCTGAGCTTCGTGGTCTTGCTAGAGCCTGCCCTGACGTGTTCGTTGAGCTCCTCCAGCTCCTTAACCTGTGTTTGAGGTCGCCGGCTTCGGTGAGGTCCGACTCTTCGTCCCTTTTCACCTGGCGTGTCGTCGGTGTCCCAAAGCCCAAAGATCCGGGTGCGACTCGCCCGATCGCCATTGCTAGTGCTTTGGTGAGGGGTTTTCACCGAGCCCTTCTGTCCCTGTTTCCTCCCTTGCCCCCCCGGCAATGGTGTGGTCTTTCCGGCTCCCGTACCGCCGATGCCATTGCTGACTGGCTTGCGCAGCGAGCGCACAAAGGTGCTGAACTTGACTTACGACGGGCGTTTGACAGCGTTCCCCACACTGTTTCCCTTCTTGCAGGGCGGTCCGCTGGCCTCAATGAAGAACTTCTTGCTTATTTCTCCGAGCTCGTGTGGCCTGCACCCCGACGTTGCTCCGTTGCGGGGAGCCCTCCTCCTCGTGATGTGTGGCCCGTGCGAGGCTTGCCGCAAGGTGACCCCGCCAGTCCTCTGTTCCTGGCATACGTGCTTGCGCCTTGGACTCGGCTCGTCAGCACTGTGCCTGG